AATCCAATTATGAAGCTTTAAATATTCAAACAAAGCCAGCGTATTCATCTCGCCCTCTTTGCACTTCCGCACAGAAAAAAGGGCCAAGCGTTTGCAGAACGAAACAAACGTGGATTATTCCGGTCGAGCGTATGCGGCGGCGGAAACTGTGCGGGAGTGGCGGATGTTGATTCTCTTTATTTCTCGACCGATCTAGACCGCATCTGCTGGGCGACAAATCAGCTGCTCTTTTCGAACAACGTCGCGTCTGCAAAACAAGCTCAGGCACACCTGTCGCCAGGTGCTGCACACAATGCGCCCGATAAACCCTGCCCGCCGTAGCTCAGTACGTGATTACATAAGAGCGAACTAAATCACGCTATCGTCATTTAAAGAGTTCTGTTTGCAACCAATCGCGAGAGCGTCGCGTAATGATCGCACTTTTTGCCATACGCAACGGTGTGCCGTAACGCCTGTGATGTGCGATTACCCGTCCCCCCGATGTGGGAGCTCCAGCTTTTTACTCGCTATTTCCCAACTCTGGAAAGTCGGTCTGAAACGTAACGTAATTATGAAAGTGAATACGAAAACATGCCGGTGAGCCGGTCGCGTTACGAATCCTGGTGCAATCTTTTACAACAACAAAAAAAAAAAAACAACGGTCATAACTTTATTGTTGTGTTAACAGGAAAAAAAAATGTTTACAGAATTTGTAACGAATGAGATAATGTTTACATGAGGCGGAACTTCAACATTTACTGCAGATTTTACAATAATTTGCCGGCGAAGATGAAGGGTAGGTTTAGAACGGGTGGTCTTACACGGCTCGGTGGCAACACACGTGCGTTATGTCGGGCGGCGAAAGTATTTCGAAACGGACAACGCATTTATATCGGGAAGGAGTCAACGAACGGAAGTGTTTCACGAGTGTGACATGCGACACGGTTATCGGCGCTTGCGCAAGCCTAGGCCCACTTGCCCAATCACACGCAGAACACTACCGTAATGACTCGTGCCTTTGCGGTCTCAAGAGAATCCAGGAATCTCGTTAACGCATCTGCTGTAAGTGGCGTATTGCGGTCGGGCCGATTGGTGTCGCGGGTCGACGAACGCTTTCTACCGGCATCTCCATCTGCCGCGTCAGTGTCAGCGGCGTGCGATTGCAAAACGCCTCCGGGATCGCGCTTTCTTCGTTCGCGACGCTCGGAGAAATTATTGCGACACACGGCCGCGTACACCGACCCCGCCGTTAGAAAGTCGACCGCTCGTCAGATTTACCGCGTTCGCACGTAACTGTGTAATTGCAACTCGAATCGGAATTCAGCGTGATTTCGGATGGTTTTTGCTTTCTTCGATTGCGCAATTCACGCATTTCGATCGCGGGTCATCGAACGGTAGGGCACGATTCGTGAACGTCAATGCGCGCCATCGACTGCAATACGTAGACGCGATGCACGGCCCGAAGGCGATTTGCGCAACGGACTCTGGAGTGGCGCCCGTTCCGCAGTCTGTGCGTTGCAACACAGGATTATTTCGGCGGCGCTTGGACCGCCGCCCGAACTTGCAACACGCCATATCGCAACGCGACTCATAATCCACGGCATTGTGACACACAGCCGCCGGTGTGCGGACGTCGCCCGCCTTCCAAATACGGCCCGCAGTCGGGTTGCGCTACTCGATATCCTTACTTCATCGGCGTGATGCCGCAAATGTCACAGGCGCACGCCGCGTCACACCGCAATGAGTTCGATTGTGTTCGATATTAAAACTAAAATAAATTTCGCAATCGATGCCTCACATTAGCGTTTTCGCAAGCAGCCCAGGCGCTAGTTTCAAAACTGGGCTCGAATTGCTTTATCGCGGGGCGCTGATAAAGTGAACTGTGCCACAGTCTAGCTAACTATAGGCATTAAGTACGTAAATCCAAAAGCAATTTATTTGTATAAAATATATATGTTTCCGCGATAACGTAGCACAAAGTTGTAATTTTACGTTAATAAATAAATAAAAACCTTGAAGAGTTTTTGTTCTTTACTAATAAAAAAAACTCTGAGTACACGTTTATGAGCAATAATGTACGTTTTTAATATATTAGAGCGGCGTTGCGCCATCCGAACAGACATATAATTGGACATGGTCGGGATGGTTTCCCAACGTATCCCGGCGGCATCTCTGTTGTGTGGCAACCGAGCAGTGCGCTTGCGACATCACACGCGTCCCTACAATGCGGCTTACAAAACCTATGACTAACGCACCGCCGCACCATGGAGTTCGAGAACGACCAATATCACAGCAAACATTCAATTGTACATTGTTGACATAGCTATTAAAATACGGCCTTTCGCAATTCGCGTTCGAACTGACACATCAGATCGGTTCGTATGTGATCCGCGCTGCGAAGACTTCCTTCGCTATTGCACAAGAATTTACGTCACGCGCCGATATAAAGTCGAGCAGGAAGTGCATGCATGTGTGGTGCATCTGCGCTGCGACCGCCATTGTTTGTTACGAAATTGTCAGGGTTGAGTTGAGCAATGACGGCGATTGCGAAACAATTAGGCCGCATCCCGCTAATTGTGGGCGATTCTCCCACACTAAGACCGATACTACCGGTCGATGTCTCGAATTAACAAACAATGACATGATGTCTAATAAAATCGTAAAATCGATTTTGATTTAACGTTCTCCGCCATTATTACTATTGTAATAGCATCTCGATTCAAACTTGACCAAGAAATGTTTATAGCGCACGTTACACACTCAGAAACGTGTAATTTCGTCAAAATATTTCGTTAACACGAGTTGCGAAGCTGCGAACGTGAGTCAGTTTAGTAATAGAGACTGTTAAAATTTCTGGTACGTCATGAGCTCACGATCGAATTCGATATAAGACTTATCCTTAGAGTGAACGCCAACGCGGCGTGTGAGTTATCGAGACGAAACGAACCTCGAATCGGAGCCCTGTGTGCTTAGTGCGAGTTTTTTTGTACGTTCTCGATAGCGTAAAAGTTAGCTCATATTTGTACGGAACGGGATCGTTTGCATATGTTTGCCGCTAGGGGCGCTGTTCCGACTGGATACAAAATTAATTTAACTTTTACGCTATCGGGAACGTTAAAAAACTCGCACTAAGCGCACACTGTTCACGCGTAATGCGGCATTGCGTAAATTAGTCGGTTGTCCTTTCGCCAGAACCGTGGCTCGCGTCCGAGACACCGCCGAGAATCCTTGGAGGCCACCGCTCGGAACACGCTCGGAAATCCGGCCAACCTTCCGACCGAATTACGACACTGTATAACTTATTTACACGTTGCGAAATTAGAATCGATTGCAACTGCAGGCATCGCACTTAGCCTTGTCGTTGTAGGGATTTAATTAGGATCAGTTACGCGGCGGCGAGACCTAAATGGGCACGAGGACGACGCACCGGCCGGGTACCGTTCACTGGTTAATTACGAAAAATCTTGGCTCCCAGGACAATGGCGACCTTTGATTCATCATAAAAATCGCGCATTTAAATCCTAATTGCGGCACAAAGCGATCAGTGGGCGGTCGAAGCACGTGCCCAGTTGCGAACGGCGTCGTTGCGATACAAATCGAAAGCTCCAAACAGTATCGAAAGCGTTCGCATGAAATTTCTCGTCGGATAACTAACAAGTCGTTGCGACAGTCTTAACGAGAGTAACCTTTAGCAGTAGCCAGCCGCTCCATATTGTCACGACGCGACGTAAAATATATTTATCGTTGTTTATCTTGTAACTGAATATGCAATTTCGAAAAGGGCACATCTCTGAAAATGTAAAATGTTCAGGAAATGAAAAAACCTGATTATTTTCTAAAGCAGTGTAAAATTTAAAATATTATCTTTTGAGATATATTTTAGTGTTAATTAGCAATTGAAAATTACTGGAATTATTATAAAATGGGTGTAGGTAAGCCTCAAAACTACATGTACTATGAAAAAACGTATTTGACAAAATATGCAACATGTGCCCTTTTCGAAATTGCATATTCAATTAATATAAACATCGAAATTGCATTTCAATTAATAAACGTATTAATTCGTTTTGGAGTCTTTGCACTTGGCTTCGTCAATTATTGCGTGCACTCACAGCCGTTTGTCAAACAGCAGAGGCCGCAACGAGTAGGTGTTGTAAGTATTTGTTTGAAACCTGTAATATTGCTTTCAGTTTTGAAACGGACGCATTGAAACTCACATTACACACACGTCATGTTTCATAACATCTATCTTAGGTCTCATAATAAACTTGAAGCACCTGTGAACGCAGAACGTCCACCTCCCGAAGACACGGACCGATCTAAAAATATCGAGCGTTATATTTTTTTTTAGTCACCGGAACCCGTCCATTCAGCGGTGTTTTCATTCATAGCCAGAAACATAAACATTTTTGGTTTTCTTTGCTCTTACAATACACCGTAGTTCATGGTCTGCAACGGTAGCCGATGTTTTCTTAGATCACGTTAGGTTACAAGACAGGGCTGGTGGTACAGTTTCGAAGCGTGCATTAAATAAATTTCGTAACGATGCGGCCATACTGTGGAACACGAGGTCGCGCACGGTGCGCCCAAAGCCCGCACCATGATGAAACAAAAACCAATTGCATCACGATGCAGCTTTACGTTTCGTTCTGTAATTATTTACATGACATTATTGTTGCATACACACCGCATGCGACAAATGCAGATAACGTTTTGCAACGCGCTCGGCACTTTGTTGCTTTGAGTAAACATAATAAAATCGCAATGCACCCGAGAGCCTTTTGGTGAAGCGGTATCTTAACGTTCGTGCTTGAAAGCTAGTTAACACCTAATGTCATAATCACAAGCACCCTTTGAAAATTGTTAAGGCGATCCGAATGAAACTCTTAATAGCGTCGGCTTAAACGCACGCTACTAAGCCCAGATTAATTTATAAATGAGGAATAGAGGGAAACAGGATGTTGTTGTTAATTTAAAAAAATGCCTGCAAAAACACTAATTTGTCTTTCTTTTTGTTACAGGACGACTTTAAAATTAGAATCATTAGAAGACGCGGTCGTCCTCGACGATCCGGAGGAAGATTTACTTCAAGATAAGCGAGGGTGTCCCGCCTACGTGTCGCCCGAGATCCTCAAAGCGCACAGAACGTATTCGGGCAAGGCCGCCGATATGTGGTCGCTCGGCGTCATACTCTACACCATGCTCGTCGGAAGGTACGCATCCATATCTTACCAATCATAGCGTAGTGTCTTATGAAACAGAATTCGCCCCCTACCAACACCAGCGAGACAGGTCGCATAATTTAATTTCCCGACTCTACCAATATGTGGGTTAGTGTAATCAAACGTGCATAATTAAGGGTGCAGGGTGGGCGTCTTCACCTGCCGAGCGTGGGACTTACCGTTTTTCGAGATCACAAAGCGAAGGGTCGCGGCGACCGTTGGCGACGTCGGCGGGGGGGTGGATCACCTGTCGGCCGTTACGCGCCAACGGCTCACAATTATATCACACACATATAAATGAGGCTCGTGAAATCTTCGCCGCACCTGCCGCGGTCATGTGGCGAAGACGTTGCCGACCCCGCCCGCACCTGCCGCTCGCGATCCTTTGTTTTCTGCTTTTTTCTGACTCGCACCCGTAATTTACATTCGAAAGTCCGGATTCGGCCCCAATCGGCGGCATCACCTGTCGCCGGAAGGGTTCCTACGTCTTACCTGGGTTTTTTGTTTTCGCACATGTGCCTTCCATGAGTGATCAGAGAAATAGATAAGGGCCGAATCGAAGCGAGACACCGGAATCTCGACGTTAATGTTGTTTCCTTTTTGTAAAAGATAAGCATTTTCCGTACATCTCATCGTTTTTTAAACGCGGAAGATAATTGGGGGATCTTTTTTTAACGACCGCCCTTTTAATTAAGTTAATCCATTATTAGTTTCGCTCTCGAAAGACGAATATGGCCTTTATTCTAGTAGGCAGTCTAGTAGATATCGCCCTATTTATGCGAAGTTATCACAATTTTCTAAAAAAATTGAAGACTTATAATAGTATGAAGTGTTCTCTTATATGCGCTCGATGATATCCGATACTGTCCTTGTTTAAATCGATCACACAACTAATAAATACTTCTCAACATAACTAACGTAAACTCGTCCGTTACAGGTATCCGTTCAACGACTCCGAGCACGCGTCGCTGTTCGCGAAGATATCGCGGGGCTTCTTCGTGGTGCCGGAGTGTTTGTCGTCGCGCGGCAAGTGCCTGATCAGGTCGTTGCTCCGTCGGGAGGCGGGCGAGCGGCTGAGCGCGGCGGCGGTGCTGCGACACCCCTGGCTGGCGCGGGACCCCCGCAACGAGCTGCCGCCGCGCGCCGCCGCCGCGCTCGACCGCCTCGTGCCCGACTGTCTCTAGTGACGCCCCGCCACGCCACGCCACGACCCGCCCCGACAAGCCACGTGAAGATACAAACGAACGGGCTGTATTTATGAATTAGGGTCAACCAGGGTACTTTTCGTGTTTTCACCTTGACGGGAGATATTTAATTTATTCGATGATTACAAAACATAAACCTTTTATTGAACTGTTAACAATGACCCTGGTCTCCCGCGATGGAGCGCCAGAGCGGCTGGCCCGCGACTGCTCCTCTCTATTTATTAAGTGGAAGCTCGAACGATGGTTGAGAACCGCCGCGGCTCGCGTCCCCCGGCGGTAGTGCGAAGGGGCCGCCCCCCGTCCACGTGGAGCCCTCTGTCGGCTCCTGCGTCACATCATCGCTGGTCTCGCGAGCGCGACGCGATCCTTACAATTTCACATCAATATAAATGGGTATATTGCATTGAAGTTGTCGTTCTAGTATTAGGTAAATTACCTATGTATATTTTGTAATTTATATATAGTTATGTCGTGTAATTATGATCTCCACCGATGTTATTTAGCGATTATACTCGATTGCCATTATGTTGTTGCGCGCAGAAGTGATACTTAGTTCTTTTGTTTTCACAACGTTACAGTTGCTTCCATCATCTTAGGTTTATATAATTTTTTTTAAATTAAATATTAATGTTTTTGGTTTTTTTTCTTAATTTATATAAACGTTGTTGATTAATCGGCGATTCAGCGTTCGAAATTATTATTCTGTTGCAAATCATTGTATACATTGTAACCTACACATCACCAGGTACCTAGAATGGTAACAGTAAGCGGTCAGTGCCATGTATTTAATTAAATAAATGGATAAATAAATAAATAAACTTAATTTATTGTTGTTTGAATAGTGAAGGCGCTATGGCGGCATTAGTTATCTTAAATCATTATCTCTACACGGTACCTAGTGTTGAGTTTTTTTTTTGTGATTTTTTCATATTTTGTTAATTATGTTCATGATCAGTTACGTTTATTTCGCAATCATTTAACAGAATCATACGTTTTTTTTTTTTTTTATTGTTAACATCATTCGTGTTTTTTTAATCATTTTACTTTGTTTTTTTTTTTAATTTACGTCTCTGGGTTCAGTTTCAAAAATTCGGTCAGTCTTTGTTGAAAAAGTACTGTACAATAGTAGCGATACGATGTAAAATATACTTTAACTACTCTAATTTATACCAATTGTAAATAGACTTAAGATAATTTAAGGATAATCGTAAAAAAAAAGCAAGAATGATAGAGGGAATTAAATAATTGAAAAAAATATTACAAAAGTGCTTTAATTCTGAATACCTACGTTATACCCTGTCCCTAATTGATAGTGAAGTCGTCGCAGCCTAAAGAATAAAATGTCCAGTGCCCTCGTATCGAGGGATTTGACCATTCCGTAGTTCAAAATCCGCAGACAAGTTAAAAAAAAATCTGCCGTGAAGCAGTAATGCGTTTTGGTTTGAAGGATGGGGCAACCGTTGTAACTATACTTGAGACCTTAGAACTTATATCTCAAGGTGGGTGGCGCATTTACGTTATAGATGTCTATGGGCTCCAGTAACCACAACACCAGGTGGGCTGTGAGCTCGTCCACCCATCTAAGCTATAAAAAAAAACAAGTGAGAAGCTTCAGAATACCGGTTGGGGTATGGAATAAGTCCTAGGGGGTATCCTCCTGATGCTCTACTCCAATACAATAAAAAAAAACGAAGCTATTTTTTCATGGAATCACGTGACATAAAAACGAGTATCTATCTATATAAAAATAGTTACAAAATGCGTTCATAGGCACGAGAAACTGCAATAAATTTGACATTTCGATCTCCTGTCATCAGGTCATTCACATCATCATGTGTGGTCCGATGAATACTAGCTACGATTGTGTGCCTGTCAGCACATCTTTAGCAACTAAAGTGTAGTTAGGTGCTTAATATTTGTATTAGACATTCAAATGTTCTAATAGTATTATTTGTTTTTTTATGAAAGTTGATGTGATAATAGTACTTTTTTTAAATGACGCACTTCTGTGTTCTTATTATTTGTTCATATTTATGTAATGATAAATTCGAATAATAAATTAAACTTTAATACAGTGCATCACAAAAGTTGTCGTGCAAATACCAAATTGTAAATAAAAAAATTCATTTACATATTTAGAAGAACATTAATTTTCGGCAGATTGATAGAATCTACCCGTGTGCCGCTTACAACACGTTGTACCACCATTGCAACGAATTTTTAAAAACTCTCTAGCCTTTTTTTTCTACCTATGCTGATAGCCTTGAGAGGCTATATCAGGGCTATATCAGCGTTACCCTAGCGTGTAGATAAGCTCTCGGGGCTTAAACCAGGTGTTGCTAACACTGGCTATAGCAAAAGCAGTGCTTCGTAGAATCTATCACCGGATCGGGAACGTGACCTACTGAGAAAATCCAGCGACAAACTCAGTGGGCTACTGTAGACAAGGGCACTAAGCAGAAACAGCTCTTCTCCCATGTCGGGGCTACCACGAAATAATACTCCCGAGCCCAGAGACAGTAAGTACCATTTTTATTTATTTAAGTATCCCATCCATCATTTGACGATAGTCTTTATTGTCAAAAATGGAAAGACATGTTATACATTTAAACATAAAATGCAATAATTCGAGTCTAGCAATACATCGCGCCGATGGCATAATGTTAAAAATATTAATTCTTCAATATCTTATAATATGCACTAGGCTTTGAAATACTTTTTTTACGACTACAGAAACAACCTTAAAAAGACTTATCAATGTTAAACTGTTTGGGTGCGGGCTGTATGGGCCGGTTGCTGATATAAAGAAAACTTGCGCTTTGTGCTGCAATACGGTTTATTTGAATGTTCATACACTTGATATTTTATTAATATGATAAACACGTCCGCTCGCGGTGAAAAGTAAAAAGGGAAGAGAGTGGCATCAACAATGTTGCCAGTCATGTAATTTTATTGTCCGTGCTAAAATGTTGGAGTTGCCAACATAAACTTTTTATTTTACATTTCATAAAGAAAATCTCATATCTTCCATTGTAATACAGGATTATGAAATATTATTGAACGACGTAGATTGACGGGCGGACTCACAGCTCACACATTACTAAATAATTCCGTAGGACATTTTTAGGGTACAAATAAAACAATTAACAAAAAAAAGATTTATTCATAGATCGCCGTTTATTATTACACTAATATGATCTCGCTGCATCTTTCTCTGTACAATGGTTCCTTCGATACTCTCAAAGTCAGGTTGACGTTCGGCGCGTATGCACTACTAGTACAGGCGCTCGGCTTTGCTCGGTCCGTGTGCGGCCGAGTACTCCTGCATGCGTCGCTCGAGCTCGGGCCGGAAGTGACGTATGAGTCCCTGCACCGGCCACGCGGCTCCGTCGCCCAGAGCGCAGATCGTGTGCCCTGCTCAAATAAACATTTAATCAATTCGAGTTTTAGACCTTCCTTCTCGAGAACTGATTTCAATAATTAATAGGCAGTAAAATCAAGCGCTGATAAAAATATCTCATTTTTTTTTATTGCTTAGATGGGTGGACGAGCTCACGGCCCACCTGATGTTAAGTGGTTACTGGAGCCCATGGACATCTATAACGTAAATGCGCCACCCACATTGAGATATAAGTTCTAAGGTCTCAGTATAGTTACAACGGCTGCCCCACCCTTCAAACCGAAACGCATTACTGCTTCACGGCAGAAATAGGCAAGGCGGTGGTACCCACCCGTCCGGACTCAGAAGAGGTCCTACCACCAGTAAATTCTAAAAAAATCTGTTTTTCATTCTAAAACAATAATAATCATACAATCAAAACAATAGGTTTGAAGGGTGGGGCAGCCGTTCTAACTATACTTGAGACCTTAGAACTTACATCTCAAGGTGGGTGGCGCATTTACGTTGTAGATGTCTATGGGCTCCAGTAACCATTTAACACAAGGTGGGCTGTGAGATCGTCCGCCCATCTAAGCAATAAAAAAAATCAAAAGAATAACATTTAATTATATTATTATAGTGTGATTTTACTGTTTGAGTTTGACATACGTGCGAGTGATAATACAACCTAATTAAAATAGCTTTAGAAATATTACTTTACGTCATTAATTTAGCTAAGTTACTGTTAATTGTAATTTAAAAGGTTAAGTTTGGTAGCTCTATCTAAAAGTAAATATTTCATAATATTTAAATGTTCATAACATACTTATTAATGTATGTGCTGATAACAGATGGCAGCACATGTATTATTTATGTAACATGATTTATGTATGTATGTATTTATCACTACATAGTGTAGAACAAGGTCGCTTTCGCTCGTCTGTCCCTATATATGAGTCGTCTATTATCAAAGGTGGCAATCTGTGCATTTGGACAAAAAAAAATTATTGATATGTCAATACAGATTGATTTGAATATAATCGTCTCCTTCAAAGAATACGGTTCAAAACCTGCATTAAATAAAGGTTAATAGTTAACCTGTTATTTATCTAAGATGTCGTTCCGAAGAGTTTTGTGACTGCCAATGGAATACAAAGTCAATAATTCGTTTTTCTGATTTACCAATCATTGTCCAAAAGTCAGATTGCCGGCTTTGATAATAGTCGACTCATATGTCCCTATGTATGCTTAAATCTTTAAAACTACGCAACGGATTTTGATGCGGTTTTTTCAATAGATAGTGATTGAAGAGGAAGGTTTATATGTATAATAACGTTCATTAAATAGTGGAGAAATCAATAATAAATTACAGTTTCCGAAGCGAAGCGAGGGCGGGTCGCTAGTCAGGTATATGAGATTAGTTTATTTACTTTATTCGCTTATTAAATATTATATCAAAATGTGAATACCGCCAACCTCCTTGACATATGAGGTGATTTCACTTTATTACACGTTATTATTCTTTGATTTTCGAGTTCGTCCATTAGATACAAAAAAATCCTGTTTCAACAAATTTGTGCAACTATGCCCAATCGTATTGGATAATGTAACATGTGCCACAGATATTAGACTACAAATTCTTTGGAATAATTGCTTTATGGTTTAAATAGGACGATGAAACTAACTTCTATGACCTCAAACCATACCAATAGTAAAATCACACAAATTTTCGCAATATTTAAAAAAAAAACATAACTAGCATTTAATAGTAGGCACAATATCCATGTGCATTATATACATCGTGTTGTAAAATTTTATTAATTTTAAATGTTATTGATAACTAATTTGAACTTTTGACGCCACCCAACCTTTCTGTGCAAAATATTCTTAATATAAAAAAATATTTGTCGTACCTTCGATTTGTTTCGAAATTTCCCACAGCATGTCGATTTCTTTCGGTGAAGCATTACCATCGACGAATCTACAAAAAAAGTATTATTCACCAATTCAATTCGAATAATCGACTTTACGATTCTTAGTAATAATACTTAGTCGATATTTTCATGAAAAAATTCACACCTGTATATAATCTTGTTCATCCAGGAGACACCTTCGCGGCAAGGAGTGCACTGGCCGCAGGACTCGTGCTTGTAGAACATGATGAGTCGAGCGATGGCCTTCACGATGTCAGTTGACTTGTCCATGACAATTATGGCCGCCGTGCCCAGGGAGGTCTGCGCGGCTACTAGACCGTCGAAGTCCATCAACACTGTCTCGCAGACGCTACGAATCACAAAAACACAACAATTTGAATTCATCTTAAATTACAATCATAACAATTACAAATAATAAAAATGCTAAAATAAAATAAAAAAAATTATTGCTTAGCTGGGTGGACGAACTTGGTATTAAGTGGTTACTGGAGCCCATAGACATCTACAACGTAAATGCGCCACCCACCTTGAGATATAAGTTCTAAGATCTCAGTATAGTTACAACAGCTGCCCCACCCTTCAAATCGAAACGCATTACTGCTTCACGGCAGAAATAGGCAGGGTGTTGGTACCTATCCGCGCGGACTCACAAGAGGTCCTACCACCAGTATTGAAGTGCACTAACTTCTTGGGTATGAGCGGCGTCGAGGAGCCTCCTGGTATGATGGCGAGCAGGTTGTCCCAGCCGCCGGTGACTCCGCCCGCGTGCCTCTCGATGAGCTCCTTGAGCGGGATGCTCATCTCCTCCTCCACGGTGCACGGCGTGTTCACGTGACCCGATATATTGAACAGCTTCGTGCCAGAGTTACGTTGGCGCCCAAACGAAGCGAACCACTTGCCGCCACGCCTGCAGATCGTCTGGAATCATTTATTTAGCTTAGACAAAATGGTGACCAAGTGACCGTGACAATTTCTCGGAACACTCCCAATGGGCCAAAAAACCTTTTTAAACTTCAAACTTTACAACAAGAATGACTATGGGGCTTTCCCACTTGCCTCTTTCACACTAAGGCTTTATCTATATAATTAATTAAATATAAAAATTAATTAATATAAAAATTAATTGCTGTTCATTAGTTTTGCTGAAACTCGAAAACGGCTGGACCGATTTATCTAATTTTGGTCTTGAATTATTTGTGGAAGTCCAGAGAAGGTTTAAAAGGGAGATAAATATATGAAAATGCTAAGAATTAAATAAAAATAACAATTTTGTTTTCCCTCTGATGTGTCCTCCGTCGGACGGATTCCTTTTGTTTGTTTTAAGTTTATTTTATACAAAAGTTTAGTTCTTTTATATTTTATCGATTGAGGCACTACGAAATCTGCCGGGTCAGCTAGTAAATGATATAATAACAAAGTTAAATATTGGTGGCTGTCAGGCTGTGGAACAGAAGTGTTAGTCTATATCTATACTAATATTATAAAGAGGAAAGATTTGTTTGTTTGTTTGTTTCGAATAGGCTCCGAAACTACTGGACCGATTTGAAAAATTATTTTTCCATTAGAAGCTGACATTGTCCCTGATGAACATAGGCTACTTTTTTTAATTTTTTTTTTTGTTTCATTTGTGTTTTAATGTTTCCGAAGCGAAGCGAGGGCGGGTCGCTAGTCATTAAAAATTTTAACAAAACCAACTACTACTATTATTATTATTACTTACGGGCGCTACCGCGATTGTTTCTACATTGTTGACAGTGGTGGGACAACCGAACAAACCCACGTCAGCGGGGAAAGGAGGTTTGAGCCTCGGCTTGCCTTGTTTGCCCTCAATGGACTCAATGAGAGCTGTCTCCTCACCACAGATGTATGCGCCGGCACCGCGGTGTACGAATATATCAAAGTCATAACCAGAACCACAAGAGTTCTTACCAATGAGACCAGCTTGGTAAGCCTGTAACGGAATATAAAGAATAGAATGTATTGAGAGTAATTGAGCATTGGGATTATCCTAACCTTGTTATTATGTATTTTTTTAAATACATTTTGTAGTGAAAAAAATCATACAAGTTGATAGATCATTTTTTTTCTAATTTGGGGTTTAAAATTTCTCCCGCCTACCTGGTAATTGTGCCACAAGCTGAGCGCTATACTAGCGATAGACGTTGCTGCAGTGTGTGCAGCATTTGGAAAAAGTGAATTGTGAAATCATCAGCCGTTAGTGGTCTATATTTTTATTGTTACGTGAATACATATACTACATACACCCCTAAGAAGTCTCAACATTTTTTGGATAAAAGTAGCTTAAGCCATTATTTAAGAAATTCACTACTCGCCCATACAAATTCTGTCAGAATTGATACAGTAGTTACAGGATTAAACAGGACACACATAAGTTGACTCCACCTATCATTAACTTAAATTACTGTTAAAGCCTTTATTTTGAAATAAAATATTTCAAGTTTAATCAATTGGTAGTTTAAAAAAATAAATTTTTTGTGTATTTAAAATATAGAAACAACTTTTTTGTGTTAAACAAAATAGTTAACCAAATTTACCTCAGCAATAGCAACTTGCAAATTGCTTGCTTCATTGTAGAATTCACCTCTGATGTAAATGTATGCTGCTTGTGCACCCATGGCTCGGCCAGCAATTAGGCATCCTTCCACCAGTTTGTGGGGGTCATGACGCATAATCTCCCTGTCTTTACAAGTACCAGGTTCACCCTCATCAGCATTAACCACGAGATATTTTGGACGACCATCCGAAGGCTTGTTCATGAATGACCACTTCATTCCTGTTGGGAAACCTGCTCCTCCCCTGCCTCGAAGGCCAGATGTTTTCATTTCATCTACAATTTTATAGGTATTTGAGTATATAGGTCCTATCATAAATAAACAGTGTTTATGTTTATAATATTACTAGATTCTGAATTTTATTTTTAAATATGTAAATTTGTTGCCCTATCTGACATTGTTGCTGTATTTATTCATGTAGACCTTGAAATACATTATTTGTAGTAGCTACATACTAATTATTTTTTGGGATCCATAAGACCATTTACTGACAACTTTACTAAATTTGAGTTTAAGGTAAGGATTTGGTCTAATTTCACAAACCCCAAAAGTATTCCCATTTTTCAAAAGATGGCTAAACTTGCTGAAAGAAAGTTTTTAAAAAATGGATACATAAACTAGACAAACCATAAGGTTCCATTTTATCATTTAGATTCATTGTTCTCGATATATCAACAAAAACAGATGATTGTAGTTGCGACAAGAAGGCAAGACGTTTTATAAAAGTTCATAAATGAAATAAATTGCAGATATATTATAAAAGTTCACAAATGAAATCAATTTCGTTCGATGCAATGCTATATATAATACGAAAGAGTTATATTTTTGTAGTAACCAACTAAATCACTGCAAAATTTTAAGCTCGAGCACACCTTAAGTCTATCACAGGGACTGGCAACCTGTGCCTCATGAGCCACATCTCTTTGGATATAAAAAATCGGCTCTTTAGTTCCATATGCAAATATTATTTATTTAAAAAAAAAAACATTTCAAAAATTGTTCTGAATCGACTACCAAGGGTTGAAGCCCATTGTTGTAAGTAAATGTTTGTTTTCATTTGTTACTTAAATAATAAGTGATTATCTAATGATACCATATATATTAAACTAATTTGTTGTAAAAAAAATACTACTTATATAAGAATAAATAGATATTTTTCTTATAAATAATTACATTTTTTTTTTTTTTTCTGCAAGAATGATTATTATTGTAGGCAAGAAAATTTTTTGTGGCTCTTTAAAAGCTTAAAAATTTTTAAAATTGTCATTTTTGGCTCTTCCGACTCAAAAGGTTACCGACCCTTGGTCTGTCCAATAGCATAACTTAGCACTCACTAACGATCCAGTCGGTTCCTTTCAGTAAAATCTCCTTCGTCAAATACCAGTCCCCTCGGGCGAGAGCACCCTTCAACCTCCATTCATGTCGACCATACAAGTTTGTGAAAACCCGATCGCTATCGGCCAGCGGTCCATACTTGTCTTTTGAAGGCGCCTGGGTCTGCTGGAAGCGCACCGGTACATTGTTGACATTAATTGCCAAAGGCCCAATAATGCCTAAAATAAGATGTCAAAATTGTCAAAATTATGTAAGAAACTAATATATACGTGAAAGCAATACAACAATGACACCATTTTTACAAATTTTAATCATTACTTCCTGATCACTTACGTAACGTATATGACAAAGTAGATGGACAACTTACCCAAATGTGGTTTTGTGCCCTGAATCACTCTTGTCAGTGCACCAGCCATATTTCTTGCTGAAAAAGTTTCACACAGATTTTGCCTTCAGTCAAATCAAATTTAATGACAACATTGACAACAGTGTGTCAAGTTGTGTCAATACTATATAGGTCTATGGTCAAGACTCAAGACTGACAGATTTTGTTCTTTGTTTGGTCAAGAAAAGGGAAGTATAGTCATAAGTGAAATAAATAAATTATTTTGCAGGTTGTTATGTCTGATCTATTATTGAAATGATATTCATAGAGGAATGAAAGAAAATAGAATTAAATAAAGTAGAGGTGAGTATGAACTCCGCTCTGTTCACTGCGATATTGGTCAAATCAACGCTCTATGTAACAAAGTTAATAATAGTACACTTTATATTTTTGCCACTAATTTATGTATGGTTTGTATTAAAAGAAATACTTATTTTGAACATAGGTAGGCAGGTGTGTAAGTACGGTACATATTACACTATTAAATACGGTTTAGATATATTTTTTCATTTTATGACCTGGTGACAGAGACCTTTAGGTCATATCTATTTCTGTAATTAAATCATAGATAATACCATGAAATTTAAAAAATTTAAATCATAGATTATACATGATTTAAATTCTATCAACCAAAGAAACTGAGGGGATTTAAAATTTTCATAAATTTAAAGTTTTAGGTAAGCATTTATTTATCCAGGCGTTATCTTTTTTTGCTCTTTGTTTGAAATGTGATATTAACTTTTACATTATACTAGCAATTGAAGAGGAAATTTCGTTACAGTAATTTAAACATACTTGTAATGTTTACTAAATAATTTGAAAAGAGACTCATTATATTAATACGGGTACGGCTATGTCTAAATTGATTAGATAACAAGTGCACAGTGTACATACTCACATGTTTTTTCATTTATTGTAGAGAACTTATCCGTTTTCCACTATGGCTGCTGTGATTCCACCAGTAACAAAATTATCCACATCTATTATTAGGATTCTCGGTTGTAATCCAGGTCCAATGACTCTTCAAGGCACAAACACGTATCTCATTGGTTCCGGTAAAAAGTTTGTATTTATTTTCGTTTATTCTTCCAAATTAATTTTTATGGCTAATAGCTAATTGTTGTCAATCTTATAATTAATTTGTTGAGAATATGTTGGTACCATTTCATACAATAGACTAGAAGTTGAACAGTGGATTAAATAAAATTTTAGTAGTTCTTTTCCCATCACTCATTAAAGAGATTTTTTAATTACATATTAGCAATTACACATCTCTTATTTATGAATATATTTAGTCGAATCTTAGTTGACACTGGAGACAACAATATACCCGAGTACCAGAAACATTTATCAGATGTTGTGAACTCTGAAAAAGCTAACATAGAACATATTGTTCTCACTCACTGGCACCATGACCATGTTGGTGGTGTCGAGAACATATACAAAACTATAGCAAGTGAGTATATCCTGAAGAAATAACGATATATTATCAATAAAATTAAAAAAATAAATTTATTCCATTTGAAGACTTATTAATCTCTAATATCACTCATAAAAAATCAATTATGCGTTATCAATGTGATGCGTAAGAAGATAAATTGTTCATATAGTTATATATAAATTTATATTGACTATTTGTGACAGCTTATGAGTGGTCACTGAGGCTAGATGCTCTCAGAGTAGCTGAAGACAGGATGAGATGGCGCATTGTGAGTACAATAAAGTCATTGATGGAAGTAGTCACAACCCTCAGGCTGATTGCTCAAAGATGATCATGAGTGTGGTTTCAGGAACACAACTTTTCCCATGAATTTACTTTTATTATTTATGCATTAGATGAGTGAATGAGCTCACAACCCAACTATTGTTAAGTGTTTACTAGAGCCTGTAGATATCAATAAAGTAAAACCCTCTACCCATCTTTAGACTGTTTCTGCAGTAGACAGCTAACTGATCCTTCAAACCCAAATGCATTACTGCTTCACGGTAGAAGGCTAAATAGGCAGGATACCTGCCCATGCTACCTCACAAGACGACCTACCATCAGTAATTACGCAAATTAGATTTTTCATATTATTGCACTGGCTGCCTCAGTCCTCATACCAAGACCAATTTCGTTGTCATGTCTGTGGACTCCAGTGATCATTTTACATCAGGTGGGCAGGTGAACAGGAGCAACAATATAGCTAATACAGTATTTAATCAAATAAAAAACTCAAATGTAATTAAGCAATATAGGTATAAATATGAATAATATGTCACACACTATCTAATTGAATATTTCATAGAAAATCCCATAATATGGAAGCACAAGAAGAGTTCAGAAGATTCTGCTGATAATGAACTACCAGCATCTATTCCAATAGAATGGCTTAGAGACGGACAAGAAATTAAAGTAGAAGGAGCTACAGTCAAAGTGCATCATACTCCAGGACACACAACTGACCACATAGTGTTGACATGTCTGGAAGAAAACATTTTATTCAGTGGCGATTGCATATTAGGAGAGGGGACAGCTGTGTTTGAAGACTTATACACCTATATGAAAAGTCTGCAAAAAATATTGGACTTAAAACCAAACATTATTTACCCTGGTCATGGGAATATAGTAAAGGTATAATTGTGCCCTTTTATAAATAATATTTATGTAATGTTCTTTACTAAAACGTGAATACGTTTTTCTTACATACTATACTAGCGACCCGCCCTCGCTTCGCTTCGGAAACTGTAATTTATTATTGATTTCTCCACTATTTAATGGATGTTATTATACATATAAACCTTCCTTTTCAATCACTCTATCTTTTAAAAAAACCGCATCAAAATCCGTTGTGTAGTTTTAAAGATTTAAGCATACATAGGGATATAGGGACAGAGAAAGCGACTTTGTTTTATACTATGTTGTGAAGAATATTGGGTTAAGGTTATGAGACTGAAATTTTAATACATTTTCAGGAACCCGTTGAAAAAATTGAATATTATATAGCTCACAGAAATCAAAGAGAAGAACAAATATTAGAAGCTTTGAAAACAAATTCTGATAAAAATCTAAATGAAATGGATTTAGTGAAAATAATATACACCGAGACACCGGAACACTTGTGGCCAGCAGCTGCATATAATGTAAATCACCACTTGACCAAATTAGTTAAAGAATGCAAAGTTAAGTGTGTTAATAACGATGGTGAAAATAGATGGCAGTACATTTCAAAGACGTCTAGTAATTTATAAAGTTTACTGAATTTATTGAATGCAGGGCCGGCTGTAGTTAGTAGAAATAATAAAATTATAAAGCTATTTTATTTTATTTTTTATTTATACTATTTTATAATAAATGAAAATTATATTTATAATTTTGTTTCGTTCACATAACCTTGTTTCTAATCATTTAATAACATTTTTCACTCATTATTCATTACATTTAGTAAAGTTAGTTAGCTACACTAAAAAGGAAACAATTTTATTTTTTCACAAACAAAACAATTTATGATTATTTAAAAGATCACCGATTAATTAGGAGTGACGAAGTTCGTCGTAATCGTTGTGATTTTAACGTAGTGAATACAAATAACTGTGTTTCACACAGATTTCCGACTATGTTATTGTAACGATAAATGATTTTTTGGAATCACAATTACAACCATGAATATCTTAATTAAATCACTATGGACAATGAAGCATTAAAGCGACAAACCGAACTGAAGCGATTAATATTATATTTATAGCACTGTTAAATAAATAGCATCATTAACTTTAATACATAGTCACATTATTATACATTATGTACGCACTGAGGTAAACATAAAATGGTAATACCAAAAGTATTACGTCAGAAGACACTTCTGAAATATCTCAAAATCGATAATATTAATTTTACTTTAACTGACTCTTCAACGACCCATTGTAGCATTATGAACAAAAATATAAAAGATAAATCTAAGATAAAAGATACAACTAAGTCCACTATTTTTTTTTACTTATAAAGTTATTTTGTACTGCACGCAATGGAAAACGTTTAGAAAGTGCGTTGGTCATGCCTCCGAAAACTTTAATATACATTGCTGGTCCACAAAATATGAATTAATAAAATGTTTGAAATTAGTCCTGACCTAAAGCAAAAGACGCCGTGTCTTATAGTATCGAGCGGGTGGTCAAATCCCATTGACAATTTTTCCAATATTTCCACTGAAATACCATTTAAAATTCATGTTCGCGAACGTCTTCCGCAATGAAAGAATAAAATCTTATAATAAAATAAAACTTGCAAAAAATATAATTTCCGTAGTTACTGATGGTAGGATGTCTTGTTGGCCCGCATAGGCAGGTACCACCGCCCTGCCGTTCTGGTTAAAATGGTCGGACAGCCGTTATACTACACCATTGAGACTCAGACCTCATATCTCAAGGTGGCCGATGGCGTTCACGTAGTGATGTCTATAAGCTCCAGTAACCACTCGACACTCGGTAGGCCGTGAACTTGTCAATCACCTTAATTATTTGAATACGGAATAATTCCCTTATCGAGTCTGAGAACGATGACTTTAAATCTAGTGTAGACCATTAGAGTCTAGATTATAGACCATAGACATTAACTCCCAAACTTTTTATTTATAACATTTACCACTTAATCGTTTTAGTGAATCGGTTTTTTCTTTTTTTACAGCTATTTACACAATGTAATTTCATTATTGTAGCGAAACAAAACTAGAAGCGGCTATAGTATAATTATTTTGTCCGTGCAGTTTGGGTCATAAAACATAGCCCGGCTAGGGCGGCGACCATGTTGCGCGGGCGCAACGTCGTTATCAATAAAAACGAATGAGTTATCGAAGGCAGGTACAAGGCGGTGGGGTGGTATACGAAGGGTGGTGAGATATTGTTATGTTATGAGTCATTTGTACTTACCTGCAAATTATAGTACATTATGTCGAAGAGAAATGTGTTTTTATGCATTCGTTCTCTGAATTTCTTTAGTGATACAGTGGCTACTCCTTTGTTTTCTATCAAAATGGTAGAATTTATTCAAAATAATATTTGCACGTGTTGTTATCAACAATGTGTTAAAATTTTTCACTGAAATATGAATAGATCTCGAAAAGTTACAAAGTGTTCATTTCTGCCATTCTCGTTAACTTGCTGCGGCGATATCTTGTGTGTTCGATTAGTGTTTTTTCTTTCATTTTTATTCCTAACCCACAAAATGACAAAACTAAATACACTATCGATAACGCTTATCGACAACAATAATGCGCATCACTATGCCCGTCCATAAGGCTCGTGAGTGGAAGAGAGAGCGAAATACTCGCTTCACCGCTCCGATTTTTTATGACCCAAACTGCACGGACAAAATAACTCTACTATAGTTGGTGTTCGTTAATGCGATCGGCGCTTCTACTGATCCGACATGGTGCGAGCCATTTTGGTGGGCGGCGCACCGGATTCGGATCCGTCATTAATGAATCTCTTTTTGTCGATGTAATGCAGTAGAATCTCTTTAGTGACGGGATTCTTGATCGATTCCCAAACGGCTGAAATAAAATATATATATACCGACCATAAGCAATAAGAAAAGTTTGACAATAAACAAATAGTATGCATGCGTGTGTATGTCAAATATATGATAGTGTGTGTAATGTTTTTTTTATTGATTTTACGTATTTTTTGTGCATAATTAAAAAAAATTTTACATCTTTTTCTATATTCTTTATAAGTGAGTCGTCTATTATCAAAGGTGGCAATCTGTGCATTTGGACAAAAATTTTTTATTGATATGTCAATTCAGATTGATTTGAATATAATCGTCTCCTTCAAAGAATACGGTTCAAAACCTGCATTAAATAAAGGTTAATAGTTAACCTGTTATTTATCTAAGATGTCGTTCCGAAGAGTTTTGTGACTGCCAATGGAATACAAAGTNAATATAATCGTCTCCTTCAAAGAATACGGTTCAAAACCTGCATTAAATAAAGGTTAATAGTTAACCTGTTATTTATCTAAGATGTCGTTCCGAAGAGTTTTGTGACTGCCAATGGAATACAAAGTCAATAATTCGTTTTTCTGATTTACCAATCATTGTCCAAAAGTCAGATTGCCGGCTTTGATACTAGTCGACTCAAGTGTGGGAAATTTCATACTCCTCCGTCCGCGTGATTTTCGTAAAAAGGGGTACAAAGTTTTTGCTTCACGTATTAATATATAGATAAGCGCGTGGACTCACCCATGGCCGTGTTCTGGCTGTTGGGGAAGGACTTGTCCGTCCGCTCTCGCATGAACACCCACTGATTGTTCTCGAACTTACATTCGATTATCTTGTTGTCATAATTTTTTAATTCTTTCGTCAGCTTTATTGTGTCCCATGGGTTCGAGCACTGTCCAACGTACAATAGTCCAATTTTTTTCCTAACGATACTGAAATACGATAAACACACGTGTATAGCACGTTCGTATTGTTTTACTGCGTCCTTAGTGAGAGTTTTTTAACGTTCTCGATCGGGTAAAAGTTAACTCAAATTTGCGGAGTTCGAACGTTTGCCTAGGTTTTTAATTTTTTTTATTGCTTAGTAGGGTGGACGAGCTCACATCCCACCTGATGTTAAGTGGTTACTGGAGCCCATAGACATCTACAACGTAAACGCGCCACCCACCATGAGATATAAGTTCTAAGGTCTCAGTATAGTTACAACGGCTGCCCCACCCTTCAAACCGAAACGCATTACTGCTTCACGGCAGAAATAGACAGGGAGGTGGTACCTACCCGCGCGTACTCACAAGAGGTCACCAGTAAATGGTTGAATAGTTAACAATCCAGATATATGTGTAATCTATATTCGTGCCACGAAGGGTCCGTCCCGAGGTCGTCTCCTCACCCGGCTACAGACTATAGTCTCATATAATATAACTAGCTGTACCCGTNTAGTTAACAATCCAGATATATGTGTAATCTATATTCGTGCCACGAAGGGTCCGTCCCGAGGTCGTCTCCTCACCCGGCTACAGACTATAGTCTCATATAATATAACTAGCTGTACCCGTCTGCTTCGCCGGGAATTTAACATTATTATTTCTCACCCTCACAAAGATTCTCATCATCAACGCCCCCGCAACTGGTGTAGGGATTCCAACACTCATATAAATATTAGCCTCTACATGGATACCAAGTTTCAAGTTAATCGGATGCACGGTTCAGTAGTTATAACGGAACATCCGTAAAAACCACTGTAGATTTAAATATTAGTATAGATTACCCCACTCCGCTTTCAGTGTCTATTTTGAGCAGAAAATCTAAACTGTTCATGTGACCGGGTTTCCATTTCAGCACTTTGTCGCAGGTGCCAGCGATGTACGGCTGAAAAGAAAATAATACATTTTATTTAGTACTAGCGACCCGTTCTCGCTTCGCTTCGGAAACATTATATTTTATAATTCACTAGATCAAAATTCAGTTGTATTAAATTTTGTAAGCTAAGGGAGAATATTTTTAATTTTAATGATAAATTTTCAAGGGCATTTCAATTCAGCGCGCAATGTACGACGCTGATACGTCGACCCCACTTCAGAGCAACAATAATATAATATTGACAGACCTCAAGAGAGGGCTGAAATATGAGCCCGTCTGGTTCGTGGAGGAGTTGCCTGGCGAACTTCTCGCCGAGTAGTTGCCTCGACATCGTGATGTCCCAAAACTCTTTTCGTCTCACACCGAATGGCTCCTTCTCTCTCCTTATTAAGCCTTTGGTCATTGCCCGTATTCTGCAACAGTGAACTTGTTTATGTCTTTTGAAACATTGGCAACACTGGATTGGAATTCCTATGCTACAATTATTTGGCAGAACGCGAGGAGCCTAGTTGTGTGAATTGTTTTATATTTATTTATTTATTCAACTTTACGCACAAAGGTTACAATGACGGACTCAAGCCTGATGCATTCTCTACCAGTCAACCAAAGGTGGTGTATAGCCAGGTGGTGAGAAATAGAAAAATAACAATAATATTATATACATATACAAACACATACACATGATATACATTTATTGTTATTTTAGTGTTTCTAAAAGTTTTAACGTGTAATAAAGGTTGTTTATTTTAACATCTGCGAAAGTGTACAAGTGGAGGATAATGAAATAAAAGTCTTGGGACGTGACTTCTCGGGTTCTTCCGAAATATCCACTGAAATAATCTCAGTAAATAACTAGCCAAAATTTCACTGAAACTTTATTTCATTTTATTTAATTTCATCTCAATTGATTAATGTCTTGTTGGGTAGACCTAACAACGGAGGGAAGATCTTCCACCGAGCGGGTGATATTGCTCGGTAGACGGTAGAATGTTGTTGTTTGGAGCTTGTATATGTGCAAGCTTATCTTGAAAATGTCGTAAGCGAGATTCAGGCATCTGTCAAATATCTTGTATTGTATGATGGTTACCGCCACAGTCTCAATTCGCTTCATATCATTTTTCACAGAACATTTTTTTATGTACTCCGTACGTAGAAATAATATTTGATCTACGCACCACGGTCTAGTAAGCGTTGGTGAAAGTCCGCCAAGATTTCGCTTCTCACAGAAACTATATATCTAATTAAACATCCTTTGATGCAGCTTCTATCAATATTCTTGGTAAGAATCAATATGGAACTGTATTCGTATTTTTTCTTCTTTTTTTTCTTTTATATAACTGATTTATTTCTGTAATATTATTGTATTGGCAGAATCATATCGAGAGGTGAAAATCCAATTGGTTTAAACGACATTTTTGCAATTTTACAAGAGTTATTTAAACCATCTAACCATCTCCACTAAACCATCGAGATTTCGAGCAGCACATACACGAGGCGGATGAAGATATTCCCATTGTAATGTTTATAAGGTCCGGTAACCACTTACCGACTGTGAGCCCGTCCACCAAACTAAACTATAAGATACAAGAATTTTAAATGTCTCTGCTGAGGATTTGGGGGAACTCTAGAAGCCACGTCCATCGACTATTCACAAACAGCACGCCAAGACCCGCCCCCTCCCTCTCCCTACCTGGGATTGATGATTTCTTCACTTATGTAGTTCAGTCTTGTCGGGTAGAATTCAGCTTTTCCGATGTCTTCGTTCTCGAAGGCGATGATGTCATAACACAAGTACCTCGGCGTTTCAATGCCGTTCTGCTTGTCTATGACCATCTCCTAGAGTAACAATGTTCTATGAGTGCAATGCGGACAGACAGACAAAACAAACTAGTGAGCTCCAAGCTCCGCCCAGACGCCCCGCCCTGTCTATTTCTAAAAAACAATCATGCGAACTCATATCTCAAGGTGGGTGGCGGCTTTTACGTTGTAGATGTCTATGGGCTCCGGTAACCACTTAGCACCAGGTGGCCGTGAGCTCGCCTAAGCAATAAAAAATATCTTATTCTAGTGCGGTGTTTCTCAACGTGGGGCCCACGCCCCACAAGGGGGCAATTTGATAATTAAGGGGGACCATCGCACTAAATTAATATAAAAAATCTGTAATTTTTTTTTTATATGTTTTGAAATATTACTTACCGTGTTCTGATAACAATTTCATAGTGATTTCTTTCTAAAATCTATTATTTATGGTCCTTAAGTGAACAAATAAATTTTTAATGTTAAAAATTATGGGTTGGGGGACATAAAAAATTTAGAAATGTTACAGTGGGGCGTGGCACAAAAAAGGTCGGGAAACAATGTTCTAATGCCACATAATCAAGAGGTTACCGGTTTGATTCTGGGCACATGTCACTTTAGTCATCAGTGCTCGGTTAGTATTGCCATAACAATGACAGAAGGACTTTTTGATGTGAATTACAGCAACAAAAGTGATGTTTTACTCACACCATCGAGCAGAGTGTCCTTGAGGTGATGCGTCAGATCGGATTTATGTAGAAACTTGAGACCGTGAACTTTGAATACGTAGTTGTCTCTGTCCAAAAAGTACACTTCGTCTTCGCCGTCTATTAACATCATATATCTGAGGAGAAATACATGTGGAAATGGAGTTTGGTACTTTTTATTTTTATTATTGCTTAGATGGGTGGACGAGCTCACGGCCCACCTGGTGTTAAGTGGTTACCAGAGCCCATAGACATCTGCAACGCTAATGCCGACATCCACCTTGAGATATGAGTTTTGAGGTCTCAGTTTAGTTACAACAGCAGCCCCACACTTCAAAACGAAATGCATTACTGCTTCACGGCAGATATAAGCAGAATGGTGGTACCTACCTGTGCGGACCCACAAGAGGTCCTACCACCTTCCATAGTGAAGCATTTTTTTTACTAAACATTGTACTCGGATACACGATTCTGTTTGCGTTATTAAAAATTCGACCTCACGTCTCAAGGCACACTGTAGATTCTCGGTGATGCCCATGGGCTCCAGTAATCGCTCTCGACAACGAGAGGACCGTGATCTTGTCTGCACGTCTACTAAATTGTCTTTTATTATTACAACATCAAACAATCGGTTACCTGAAGCCGTCTGCTTTCCACGAGACCCTGTATGGCTTCTTGAGTAGCGACAGGTTGTTCATGTTCATCGACACGGGCTGCGAGCCGGGGAAGCCTTTGCTCTTCCAGTGGCAGAACTTCTGTGCTTTCTTTTGTATCTCACTCACTCGAGGTTGAATCTCAAATGGAACAACATTCTTAACGCCGGGCATAAAGTCCTTCTTTATCATGTTATTGTGTTTACCTTTCTTCTGTTTCCTGTCGCTACATCTGGAAGAAAATATATTAATTGTTTTATTATACAATAAGTGATCGTGTAAACAGGTTTTCTACGTGTTGTCTGTGAGGCCTCAGGTGATTCAAGGGTTGCTCTCATTCACAAACGAACTCAATTCATAGTTAAGAAAAAATGGGCCCGTGTGCTCATAAGCTTTGGTAATTGAGCTTGCTTGCTTAGGTACAAAGATAATGTGGTCATACAGTCCCGTTTAAAGAGTGAGACCATACTGCTAACTTCATAACACGGAAGTAGCTCGTGAGTTCTATTAGTCATCTATAGCAATTAAGAAGACCTATTAGTAACTGGCTTCAGCAGTAAGTACCCTACCCAGTTTTATGAGGCAATGGAATGTGTTCGTACCAAGAGTTACTACCTGAAAGTTCAAGTACGACCAATGACCGACGTGAACAATTTTAACAAATAGTTATTATTCTTGTATACCAATCACAGCGGAATATGGTCAGGTTTGACTAGATATTAATAAATATAAAAATTTACCTAAGGAATAACAAGAACTTACTCTGATGTATCCTGTGTAGCACTCGGGTTGTCATCATCAGATTCTTCTTCTTCTATTTCTGTAATTTGAGATTATTAATTCCATGGTTAATTACACAATGGATCAATTTATAAGATATATTCATATTGGCTGACACAATGCTAATTGTTAATTGGCAATCACAGTGAAGCAGTTGCGTTTAGTGATAGATGGGACAATGATTATACAATACATAAGAGACAGTCTATGGTTTTCAGAAAGCACTTTACACATCATTGACCAGCAATATTACCTAAAAATTTACATCATGTCACCGGCTATTATTTCTTAATTGGATGTGGAAGTAATAAAATGTAAGCATTAGTAATTTTTTTATATACAGCAGTAGTCAACAATGTGTTGACCACATGAACAATGAAATTGATCTAATTGAGATTGTCTGGCCTATTTCACCTACGTTGTTTTTGTGCTTACCATTGCACCAGTCAGGTCTTGCAGGAGCCATTGGAGTATCTTCAACATCTCCATATAGTTTGAACAATTCAGTGAGGTAATCTTGCTTGTATATTCCTGGAGGTCTGCAAATCAAACAAAGCCAAATTTTTTTAGCCCAAGCAAACAATAACCTGAATACCACTACTTTGACACTGACTTGAAAATTAAATACGATTACATTGATACAAGTTGTGTGACCTTTAAGCTGTATTTCTTTTTACTATCATTTTAAGCAGACATGCACACGGGCTTCTCAATGGCCATGATATTTTTTTATATTTTTACTTGAAAACAAAGAGATTTAAACATAAATACAGCACAGCAAACTGAATAATCCAGGGGCAGGTACTTAGCAGTAACAGCAGTGGTGTTTGTGGGCTTTTCTAACCACTTAACACCTAGTGGGTCATATGCTCATTCACAGGCTACTCAATCAAAAAAAACATAGTTCTTATTTTCTCAATTTAGAGCCAAAGGAAATGCAAGCTTATTCCTATTAATTTTGTGATGTAATTTGAGAATGGTTAATGAAAATTTACACACATTAATTTTATTTTCAAAACACATACATTTCATTGAAAGTAAGACCATAAAATATATTTACCTTTTTGTATTAAACTCTTTTAAAGCAGCTTCAATACTACAGTCCATTTCTTGAACCATGAAAGACACAATCAAGAATCCTGTTCTGTTAAATCCATGTGTGCAGTGAACAGCTATGAGCTCAAGAGGTTTTTTCTTCATAAAGTTCTTGACAGTGTGTATGAAGACCCTGAATCCAATAAGGTGTTTTAACTTCATTGTCTGGTTTCAAACACTAACAAAATAAGTCTATTTTTATTAATCAACACACTGTATTCCTCTTTTCTAACACAAGTACCAATTATGTGAAGCATAGCATTAAACCAGCAACAGGGATATTTTTTTTAAATCTATTTTTTTGCATTTAGTTTTTTTGATTCTTTAAACATCACATCATAACACCATTGTATGTCAATGATTATATGGAACACAACAAACAAGCTTGTAAATATATTTTTCACTTTGTAATTCACATCCAATCTGTTAACCATATTTTTTCATAATGAATAGTTATTGTATTTATTATTCACATTGACTGAAATGTATAATTTATAATTATTGTATATTATAAATATTATAACACTGCATCAAACCTTATTTGGTCTTCACTCGGTGCCTCTCCGTGACCTTTGCATTGTATTTTCATATATTTACAGTCCATTTCCTCTATCTCCCCTTTATCGTAAAATCTGCTTGTATTTGTGAGATCAATCCATAAACCTATTTTTTTCTAAAAGAAAACAATTTTTTTTCTAGACGATATGAACAATTTAACCGCATGCTCAAAAGTTGTGTGTACAAAATTGTAAATGAATTTTATGAGATACAATGACTCGTATATATTCGTATATTTTTGAGTCTCAAATTCAATTTATGATAATATTGTTATTTTTATGCAAATATAAAATTAACTACTCTTAATTGTTATATTAACTTGAGTAATCTCTTTTTACCTTAATACTTTTAGAGAAGTCGAAAATCATTTTAGGCGTAAAACGACACTTTTCGGGCACTTTTTCATTGAATTTTGTGCCCAATGGTGTTTTAAAGGCTAAAAACGATTGGGCTATTAAAGATGTACACTTTCTCGGGCAATTCAACCACCTACTGGGCAGTGGACCTGGATCACTTTTCGACATTTTCAGCAGAGCTACAAGCCCAGTTAAATAATACGATTCAACTTATACACAATCCAAAAGAATACAAAAATGTGTCTCTGGCGTTTTGCTTTTGAGTTATCTTCACAAACTATAATAACAGTGTATCGTCCTAGTAGTCAAATCTCAGAAATTATTCTTGAATTTTAATTCAATAAACAAATATCTGTAGTACTCTCGTGTTCTTTAGCCTATTGTTTTTTTATTAAATGTATGATAATTTGTGTTGTCGACAACCTTAAATCCTGTGTCAGTCTATGATTCTGTGCTGTTGACAGTGACAAGCACAGGCTAGCAAGAAAAAAGCATTAAAACCATAGACCTACCTATACTTCAGTGATTAAAACCTATGATACTACGGAGGGTAGGGCTCACTGAATTTGGCCTCCTTTTTTTTTATTTTCGGATTGTTTTTATTTTTAATTATTTGTTCGTCGTTTGTAAAAATTGTTTCTTTGTCTTTTATTCATTTATAATTAATTAAACAAATGATCACCCTTAAGTGGGCCCCTCTTACTAGATATCTTTATTTTTATCTATAACAAATAATGAAAAAAAAAAAACTGAAAAAAAATGGGTGCCAAATTCATTGAGCTGGAGGGTAGAGGTAAGGAGAACCGTCTCATATCCATATGGGAGAACTTTCAAAAAAGTCTCCCACTTTCAGCACTAAATAACAGTTCAAAAATCCTCGAGAATGGCGCTAGCATAGGCACAGGGTATGATATGAATTGAGCAGTTGTTAACTCATTGAAGTATGCTGAGTTTGAAAATTTAATATATTTAATGACTAGAGTAATTAGTGACAGTGTAATATACAAGACCTCACATGTTTACGTAGTCCAAACTAATTTCAATAATATAACTTAACAATTTTACTGTCGATTACTGTTACTTCGATTGCATTTTCTTAGCAGCTTTAAATAAAATACTTTTTGTGATTTTGTGGTGCTTACAGTTCTTTCACCCTTTCTTATTTCTCTATCTTATTCTAATAACTTTTAGCGCCTTTTTTTAAATTTACCTCGGTGCTAATGTACTGCCACCCTTATCTAACAGATTTTAACGAATACTTTTTGACATAGAGACGGTTCTACTTACCTCTACCCTCCATATTTTTTTAAATGAAATACGTACTCAACAAATGTTCATGATTGACTTCCACGGTGAAGGAATAACATCGTGTAATAAAAATCAAACCCGCAAAATTATAATTTGCGTAATCACTGGTGGTAGGACCTCTTGGGAGTCCACACGGGTAGGTACCACCACCCCGCCTATTTCCGCCGTGAAGCAGTAATGCGTTTCGGTTCGAAGAGTGGGGTAGCCGTTGTAACTATACTGAGACCTTAGAACTCATATCTCGAGGTGGGTGGAGCATTTACGTTGTAGATGTCTATGGGCTCCAGTAACCACTTAACATCAGGTGGGCTGTGAACTCGTCCATCCATCTAAGCAATAAATAAAAAAAATATATATTATAGTGAGGGGTAGATCTCAGGGGTATTTAAAACTATGGGTTAGTCACCAATATCGAATTTCGAATTTTAATCTTCCTTTATCACAAACAATTTTCAATTTTAAACAATAAATACATTTAGACGCGGGCGCACGCTATTCACACTCAAAACGGAAGCCCGGAACATAGATTATACACTGTTAAAAAGATCGACATAGATGCTAACTATGTATAGCGAGCGGGCATACGGCCGCGAGAGTGACGTACCGGTCGGTTTGCTACATACTCCCCCTCTAGTCCTGGAGGACGCCCTCGCTCCTGGACTAGCATCTCATTACTACTGGGCTGAGGGACAGGCGCAAGACCAACCATACC